ATAGTCTCCACATAGAAGCAATAATCTTATACTGTAAAATTATTGAGTTAAAGTCAATGAAAGATTACACGATAATATCAAAGCTTGTTTCTTATTCTCTAAGCTTTAATATTTAATCACTTTTTCTAACCGAATTTAACATAAGATGCCTTAATTATGTTTTGTCAAACGACTTAAAAAGGGTAACCCTATACAAATTAATATATTATATTAAAATGTTTTTACCACGCTCAGTTAGCATCATTGTCAGATTACGAGACAAACTATAATCTCGTAAATAATATTTTTTTTCCAAAATTAAATATTATTAAAAAGGATTCCCACCTTAAAAAAAAAAGTAAATGTAAATTATTATCAACTCTTTGATAATGTATACATCAGTCATATTTATCTTGCTGACAAATTCAGCATTTCATATCTCACATTTCAACTTCATATAAAGCATTAGGCTTTCAAATTAACTTTGACAGACTATGGTTCTTTCAAGTTTATAAAGACATTTTCGCATAAGCAGAAATAATCATTTCTTTGTACTTGCAATTAAATAGAATTGGAATTGATTAAAATGTAGAATTTATATACAAAAAATGATGATACCGATGGGGATGGCCTGTCTACAGCCTAAGTGATATTTAATTATATTTTTATATTTATGTATTAGTAATGTAAGTATTTTTCTATTAGTCAAATGAGAGGTTGAACTAATTTTTTTTTGCCTATAAACAAATTGTATATTGCATTATATAATAATTTATTATTATGCCTTAAAATTAAAAATGTTTAAATACAACCATAGACTTTTTAGGAATTTTGGACCCAAGTAAGAAAAAAAAACTAACCCTTCCCAATCTGAATTTTTTTAGCAATAGATGTATTTGTAGAAAAAAAAACATGATAATGAAACCAATGCATTCTTCACTACGCTCATAATCGAAAAGGTATATTAGGTAAACATAAAAAAAATAAATAGATTTATATTGAAGCACATATTACATAATTTTAGTAGGTACATTTATTATTAATTATATAAAAAACCTCAATGTATTTGTTAATCACTAATCTAACCTAGGTTATTGGCAACATTTAAAAAATAACATTATATATTTATATATGGCCTAACATTGATTATAAATTCTAATATTATATTATAGTGTTTATATAATGATTATAATTAAAAATGTTAAGGCTGAGCTTTTTAATTGGCTAAAATATAAATGACATCATCATAATTTAACTTCTGTGTTAAATCCAACTCAATGGTTAAAACAGAAAAAAAATGGATACTCTCGTCTGTAGTTTGGATCTTAAATATGACTTGACCATTATTAATACTGAAAAATATCTCTCAGCAGAACAGTTGGATATATATTACAAGAAAGAAAAATTCTTAAAGCAATTTCTTCATATGGATACAAATCTTGATAGTTTATAATAACATTAGCAATTTTATCATGCTTAAATTTTACAATTTTACGAAATTCAGCTCCTCTAAGTTTTTTTCGACTAGCCGTTGTCCAGTCAATAAATGGAAAACTTTAAACATCCAAGTATTCAAGAAACTAATAATTTTTATTAATTATGAAAACTAGAATCAATATATATAGTATAAATATTTGTCAATATTTCAATAGATAAATGAATTGAAAGGAAATACCTTTGTTTGGCTTAGAAAATAGCAACGTTTATGAGGTCTATTACACAGAGGTGGACAGTTGCTATATATTATAGATGCAGTAGGTATCAAAGGCTAAGTCCAAAAGACAAAACTTCTACTCCCTAGTTCTCAAGCTAACCCCTCCCCCCCCTTCCTGTCTCCCTAAATAAGTCACCGAATACAAATGATAATTTACAATTGTTGACGAATTTTGAAAAAAAAAAATATGGAAATAGGTAGGTACCATATAAAGATATTTGTGGTGAGAACTACTTATGATGCACTTTGTATTAAATTTACCGTTTTTTTTGCATTCAAACAAAAATTAGCTAAAAAACTTTAAACATTTCCAGTACAGAAAATCCTGACTTACATCGGAGATCTCTCTGTAGGTACCTACAGAATAATTCCAGCTAAAGCCTAAAGATATGTATTACATGTAATTGCATTACAATGTATTTCGACTTATCTATAACGAACAAGGACAATAATATTTATCCTTATCCATAAGATAACACACAACAATCTTAGTTCAAACTCAGATAAAATTACGCGTGCTATATATTACTATACGAAACAGCGTCAACAATCGCGATAACGTTTTTCACACTTTAAGCCTTAGCGGTCAAAGCACGGATTACGACCGTTTACATACTCCTAAATCACTGACGTTGATTACGTACATTTATAATTAATATGTTTAGTAAAATATAAAAAATATCATATACATTTTATAAAAAGTACTCTTGTCAAGAAAAGTAGCAAAGTAGAGTTTGTCTCATTACGGCCTGATAGAAAGTAAATAAAAAATGTTGAAGTGCTTTTAGTACAAGTAACTAGCATAGGGTATAATCATTTATCAACAAAAAAATAATATTTTCAATTAGGTAAACAATATTTAGGAAAAATATTAGAAATAAAGGATAATGTGTAAAGAGAATATAAAATAGATGATCATAATATACATATAATGGAAAATAATATTAAAAAATAGGTAGAAACGTACAATATCATAATGAATATTTTACAATTTAACTTAATACTTTCCTAACTATAAGTTATACATCAAAGTCCTTAAATAGTAATTGAACACTCATTACTAGGTAATTTACTGGAAAATAACTCAGTAAGGTACTCAAAGTTATTTTTTAATTACTACAATAAAGCTATTTCAACTAGGTACTTATGTCAAAAAATTGGTATCCCTAATATTTTATGTATTTTTTAACTTATTTGAAAAGCACTTGGAATATTTCCTTTTCACTCCTGTAAAAGTATCAACTTAATCCATTTTCCTACTTCAATCCAGCCATTTAGATTTAACATCTAAGAATTATAATGAAATAACATACAAAAAAACTGTAATTGAATAGTATTCACACAATTCATAATAATCATAAATATTAGCATAATATTTTTACTATCCAAGTTGGAGATTAAATTTATCTAGCCATCGAATGATTGTGACTATGGTCGTGAAACAGTCGATTCTGGCTATTCTAGGTCACTGAACGAGTAGATTAGGTACTAATGTATAATAATGCATTATGAATGTTATAACATAAGTTTAAGAAAACACAATACAATTGAATGACGCAAATTACAAAAAAATAAAATAAATTGTGTACATTTTCAACAGACGCTTATTAAGCAGGTAAATAAATTTAAAATACTTTTAAACCTACTATAGAATAGTCCAAAATATTTTTCGCCTCTTACACGTACTTAATTATTAATAATTAATTATTACCTACGGTCCCCGTTTCTGTTGGGGCCAATATTTTTGAAACGACCCTCCCTACTAACTGATTATGATTTGAAAATATATTTAAAAATAAAAGTTTAAAATTTATTAATTCTCACTTAAAATGCTTTAATAAATGAAATAGAAAGTATTTATATAAGTTTGGTTCTCAACAGCTAATAATCACAAAAAAACTATATATTATGGCGTCGGTCATTAATTATTATCTTAACGACCGACACACGATGACACTGCTACATACGAGTACCTGCATAAAGTATTAAATCAGATTTATAACTACAGCTTAGTATTATTTAAAAAAGCCTATTTTTTGAGCAGTATTTTATCATCCAAAACTCAATATTATTTCACGTGTATAAAATAATGTACCTAAATACCTATGAAAATTAATAATTTACGAAAATATCATTTTTTTATTAGAGTTTGGTAAGTATTATAATTATTATTTTTTTAATGTATAACCAAAACCAATCTTTTCGTAAACGGGTGCGTGTAGTAAACATCATAAATAACTTGTAGCTTGTCCCCAGAAAAAGAATAATACAATTTTAAAATTACATGTTTTGTAGAAGTATAATATGAGTATCAAGTTTTTAACTAATGTTATGGTATGGAATAACATGAAACTCGAAGAGTCACCTTAAATAAGTAATAAAACTATAACGGACGAAACAAATATCAAATAAAATTATATGCACTCAAACAAACAATTATATGAACATACATACGAGCAATAATAGTTTATGTCTAACAAGAACACATTCCGTTATGATTTGTATAATGAACCATTTAGCATAAAAATATATTGTAATTGTTCATATTTTAAGTGTGAGGTGTGTTTTACCGATGTAATATTTTTTAGCATGAAATAAAGGCGTGTTATATCGATCCAAAATATGCTAAAGTCCGTTTCTGTCACGGTTGGACTTACGCTAACTACCATAATATATCATTTATTCACGTACAACTGTAGACAAGCACCCAAAACATTTGAATATTGCAAGAAAAAGAATAAAAGAGACTGTTAAAGAACATAAGTTGAAAAAATATGACATACTGTGATGTATTAGGCAATGTTCACAAACCAAATTGCAATATTCAAATATTTTGTACATTTCTGAATAATCATACATCATGTTAACATCTAATTCAATTAAATATTGCATATCTCTGTGTCTCGTTGACATGTTCACAAATCTAACTTTTATGCACAAATTAAATTTATTTTTCACTTATTTTCCCAAACAATACCTTACGTATTTCGCACTGTAATTGAAATTTGAGTGGTGTCTTACTAAAAAATTGAAAACATTTAGGAACTATTGCATTTTAAATGAAATTTTAGTTTGAGATTTATTAAATATTCAATACCAATAAAACAGAGATATTTTTATTTTTTAACACATTTCGCAAAGGTATACTACCGAGATAATTACCTCTACTGGCTCTACTCCCTAAACTTGATTTTCAATAACAATTTGCATCCAACTGTCGATGAATATTAAGTAAAAAATAAAAAAACATCTTCCATTCATAATAAATTTAAATTTAAAAAACAAGTATTCAAACAATTCGAAAGAGTATTTAAAATAAAGATTGTATACTTACAAATTCAATACATATTATTATAATATTTTTGAAATTATACAAATATAATATATATCATATATAGTAAAATCCACACAATTTTCTCAGGTTACGAACTGTTAATTTTTTTTTTGTTCAAATACATAATTCTTAACTAAAGTTAAGCAATTTTTTGAAATTTTAACCAAATTCCATGTTTTGGCATCAATGTTAAAACTTTGTTAGAATATTTTAGAGGAACTTCTGTTTTTTCACATGGTAGGACTTCAAATTTGCTCAACATTTCGAGTAAAGCCAATCTCATTTCCATCTCAGCAAAACGTTTTCCTAAAAAAAAAAATATATATGTCATGAATAAATTGAAAAAACATTTTTTTTTTTTTTTTATATCAAGATTTATTTAAACAAATACATATTTAGAAATATACCTATACACATTCTAGGTCCATCACCAAATGGAAGATAAACACCATTAGGACGTTTATCTTTGTTTTCGGGTGAAAATCTTTCAGGATCGAATTTTTGAGGATCCTCGAAATATTTATCATCGAAATGGAGTGAGTAAATTGGAATTACTATTTTTTGGCCTTTTTCCAGTATTAGGTTGTCAGGTAAACGGTATGTTTGTGATGCTTTTCTGAATAAAGCAATTAAAGGAGGATACTTACGGAGGGTTTCTAGAACAAAAAAAATGGACAGTATTTTGATATAAACATTCTTATTTAATAATTAATTAATTTAAAACAAAATATGAAGTACAACTGAAAAACAAAAATAAACTTTTACTTTTAGTTTAATAAAGTTTTACTTAATTTTCAAATTACCTACTGACAAAAAAAAAATTGATATTTTAATGATGTTCAATTCAATGAAGAATAATATTAAAATAATGAATTACCCGCAATAACCATATCCATGTAATTAAGACTCATCAAAAATTCGTTGTCAATTTGTCCATCACTATTGGATAATTTCAACTGAAACTCTTGACGTACTTTGTCCTGAATAGACGTATTCAACGCTAATTCATATAAGATGTAACTTAAAGTAGTTGATGTTGTTTCGAACCCAGCAGCAAACATTACAAAAGCATTTGCTACAATTTGTGATTCGGAAAATTTTTCTAAAATACAATTTTAAAATTGTATAAGTACGACGATAATATTACTTTATTTAATTTTGATATTTTCAATGTAAAAATACTTTACCTTCTTTGGGTAAATTTGCATTCAAAGTCAATTCATTTCTTGCCTGCATTAAACAATTAACGAAGTCATTTCTGACTATTTTATTTTCAAGTCTATACGCTATCGTTTCTTTAAACGCCGAGTGAAAGAAGTCAGTCGCATCCGTTGGAAAATCTTTCACCCTTACAACTTTCAAAAGTGAGGGGGTCACCATCAGGCACAGCTCCCTGAAAAGAGTTCTTAGTGAAGGTATGAATATCGATTTTCCGTACTTTCGAAATGGGGATTCATCATCGCTTATGGAGTTCAGCTTGAGCCCGAAAGCGCAAGTGCCGATGACGTCGGTCGAATACTTCCCCATGATGTCTCTTACTTCTATTTCTTCGTTTCCCCCCCTTAAACACTTGTCGATGTTTGTCATCAATACGTCTCCACACTCTTTGATCTGATCGTACATCGTCTTGAGCTTTCCCGACGTGAAAGCGGGGGTCAATTTGTTTCTTATTGTTTTCCATCGGGGATTTTCCATGAAGAACAAGTTGTCCGACAATGGATTCGCCGCTAAATCCGAGTAAATACCACGGTCTGGGAAAGACGAGAAGTCTTTTATTAGCACGTTGTTGATTATTTCTGGATCACGAATCATCAAATACGGTGTCCTCATCTGGAACAGTCCTCCGTATTTTAGACCAGCAAACTTGTAGTAGATTTTGTTGTAAAACTCCAAAGGGTGGTCTTTTGACAAAGCTACTCTCACAAAGTTTCCGAACAACGGAATCGGCCTGATGTAGGGCACGTTGAGTTTTTCCCATTTACTGAACGTTGAAATGCAAAAGTAATAGGTGATCGTCACCCCGACTAAACACGCCGAGGCGATATAAATCCACCAGTCGGTGGTTGACGATGATAGATTCATGGCCTGGTCGGTATTATAAACAATTATGAACTATACGCCATACACAGTACACACTCAAGTCGACACTGTTCCTTGGTAGACAGCAGAGAGTAATAATATTATAAAGAGAATTATAAGGTACCAGCACCGTCTAATTCGGTGGGGTTATCTGAATCACTTCGCATTTGGTGTCCACACATTTATGAGGTATTTGCTCGTGTGTGTGTGTGTGTGTGTGTGTGTGTGTGCCACCTCCATGTTACCGAATGTACCTACCTAATTATTATTAAGTGTTAGACGTTCAGACGAGAGTATAAAATTCTATCGATATTTTTCTGCGTATTTTCCCGGGGGTATGAGATTATAATGTGTGTCCCTAGTATAATGGTGCTGGGTGCACAGTACTTTGAATAAGTTGAACTATATTTATTATTAAAGTTTGAATTTGATTTTATTTCTAGTTCAAGTTTCTAAATCACGGGTGTATATTATACTTTAATTCCTACTTGGTTTTTAAATTATACACAATATTACTGTGTATTATACATTGATATTATGTCGCATAGTTATTATTTTATAAATTAAAATCCAATCATTGTATTGAAGTTACGTACAGTAAAATTAAATTAAACCACGATGGTCTAAATCTTATTTTGAATGGGTACATAATAAAACTAAAATAACGATAGTAATATTTACAAAGTTTCCTACTTTTGTCGATGTTACAGTGCGTATAGTGTATAGTGTTTACGTTCAGTAGAACCAACCTTGTGTCGTTAGCTTCAATATATCAGAATTAATTGACCTATAATTTAAGTTTAGAACATAGTCTGTGTTCACGGGTCAGCCTTTTTACGATATTTCAATTTCAAACTGAAATACGGTCATTTTTAAATTGTAACATTTTACATAAATTCATTACTCGCATAAAAATTATAATACCTCCATAAAGGCAACTTAAGAATACAGATAACGTTTGAAAATTTAAATTTCAAAATAGTTCAATTCAATCCAATACTAAAGCTATCAACACAATGTTAATTCTACTGGACGTACATATTATGGCTTGTTGCGCGTGGCTCATAGAGAGAAAACAAACAGTGCGCTGTTATCATCTCAAAGTAAAATACATTATCTTTTTTGAAATTTTTTATTTTTTGAATAACTTCTAAAATACAATGCAATCAACATTCGATTATTTTGAAAACTCATATTTGATATTTAAAAAAATATGATATGAAGATAATGCATAATTTAAAAACTAAGTAGTAAAGCATAATAATATATTACTATATTAGAACATATTAATTATAAATTGTATTGCTTTCAGAATATCATTATTTGAATATTTTTCTTAAGTACCTACCTAAATATATAATATAGGTATCCCTATTGTAATTTGAAATAAACTGTATGTCTTACCTAATAGTCAGAGTTGGCCACTCGAATATAAACGTGGCCCAACGTAGTTCTGAATTTGAATTATTATATTTTTTTATCTGTTACAAATAAGCATATAACATATTGTATTATTATCAGAACCCGGTTGCATTACATATTTTATAAATTGGTAATTAGACTCTATATTTAGATATTACGAAAAATTGTCTAATTAATCAGATATGTGGTTACAAACAGTAATTTGATTTTATCTCCGTGTAAGCACTGATTATTAAATAACAGTGTTCATGGTTTTATTATGTACCATAGGTTAATCTCTTGTTTTCGAGTGTTTTTTGTTTGCTTAACTGGTTTGTCTATTTATCTGCAACACGGCGTCGTTGCGTAGTTATTATAATTAATAATTTTGAGTAATTTAATATAATATTTTGATCATTTTGTTCTATGTATTGTTTCTAGCGCAGGTATTATGGTAGGTTCTATTGGTTCTACTCTAATAAAGTGATTAAGTCAAGTATTTCGAGTATTTCAAAATCGTCAACCACAGTGTAAAACACAAAATATGTTATTAAATTATTGTATATCCAGTGGTGGGTTGAGTACAAATGTAGTTGAATTTATTTATTTTGTGTTTATTTTTGAAATTTCTAGGATTTCTGTTCATTGTTTCCAATTAGTTATCATGAAATTTGATGTGAAATATCACCTTTACGAATAATTATGCATTTTTATTTTTCATGTGTAGGCGCATTTGTATAAATTTTATTTTTTCTACTGATTGATCATTATAATTATTCATTTAGTATCAAACTCTTTTGTTTATCATAAATTAATTTTATCCTTTCGACCTCGTTATAGTCATAAATACTACATGCCATTATTATACTTGATGCTATACTTTTCTAGAATAATTATTAAATATATATTTATTTCTTAATAATTCTGAAAAGGACGTCAGCAATTAATTTGTTAACTGTATTGATGTGCCTATCATGTTCTACGTACAACAAATTAATTATCACTTTTTTTTTTTTATACATCAAATACATGTAATTAAATAATTATTTTAATTAAACCATCATAAATTTTACTGCTTACGTTATTTGGGTTCGCTAGTGTACTTTACAACTATACTATTAGTGCTATCAACTATGTACATAATATGATCACGAAAAAGGTACACATATTATAAATAATAAAGAATGAAAAGCTGTTCGATGGTAACCACATCAATCGAGAACAGTAGAACCGATTTGGCTCATTTTTTTTAAAAAATATGTTTTTCTTAATATTCCTAATGAGGATTTTACGAAAAGAAAAATTGGAAAATTCGGGAAGACCCAAATTAAAATATTTTGAAAAATGTCAAATAATGGCATGCGTTTCTTAGCTAATTGTTTTCAAAATGTTTTAACCTTGAACACATATTTACTTACTCTACACCTTCATTGGAATGTGTTTCACAAACCACCTGTATTGTTTCATCTTGGATGGTAATTGAGAGATAACTTTGTATATTATATAAAATCACTAACGAATGTATTAGAACACTCATTTCAAACAATATTTCGAATATAAAAACGATAAATAAACAAATGGCATAACCTACAACACAAATACCTAAGACATATATTATGAAACATGCAAGTATAAATAACTATGCAAAATCAATCAGAAATAAATATTAGCAATGTTTATGTATACACTTGGTCCGTTATTTTTCTTTATATGCTTCTTATCTTTATACTCGTAAAATCGTACTATATTAGAACAGATAAAACCAAAAAAAAAAATCATTTAACATCATCATAGGTACCTACAGTAATAAATTATCCAAATATGATTATACAATAATCTATAAACATAGGTCGTATACTAGTAAAGCACCGATTCTTTATCACAATTGAACGCAATTTAAAATCATGCAATTGATTTCTTTGAAATTTGCCGATAATTATAATATTTTAATCAGTGTTGTTTATTTTTTTATTTTTATTTTTTTGACCAATTACTTACCAGTTTGTTTTGCTGTATAAAAAATGTATTTGTTTCATAATATATTTATTTTTCTGTTATTACTTTCAGAGTTTTAAACTTTAAAATCATTCCAAAGCCCTATTCTTCCGTTTTAAATCAACTTCGGAACAAACTAATTATTCTTTCTAAAGGAAACTAATCAATTAATTTCTTCGTTATAATACTTCATGGACAAAAAAAAACAATAAATGTGCTAATAATAAATACAGGAAATGTGGTCTTAACTATTATAATCTATTAGGAATATATTTAAAAATGAATGATTGTGTGGTTTTTTTTAAATATTATTTATAGATTTTAAATCATAACCTTGGTGCTGGTATGTTGAATTGGACTAGTGCATTTACGTTATTCACGTACGTTAGGCTAACCATCTAGACCAGTGGTTCCCAACCTTTTTGGTACTATGGACCACTATGAGAACTTTGGATACGTCACGGACCACCTCAATTGTATACCTTATTTTTCTTACAAATAAGAATCAATTTTTTTTCACATATTTTAGAATTTTGATTATTATTACATGAATATGAGGCTTTTAATAACATGGATTTCACTATGTAATATAAATTTATAAAGAAACGACGTACTATACACGATTGTCAGTAATTAGTGTTATGCCTCAAAGGAAAATGAAATTATTAAAATATTTTTACATTTTGTAAGTATGGCTCGCGGACCACCTGACAATGTCTCGCGGACCACTAGTGGTCCACGGACCATAGGTTGGGAACCTATGATCTAGACTATACCATATCTACGTTAGCAAATGTTGCATACATTGCATAATATTCTTGATATCATTTTTTTGATATAATTGAAAATTAAGCAATTTGAAAAATTTTGTATTTTTATTGAATACTATATTATTGTCGATGTACACTTATGTACTTACAACCAATTCACAGCACACATCTTGTTTGACTCGGAATACCGGTTGAGAACCACTGTATGGGTGTTGGGTCACGAGCCTCAAATTGTATCGATAGATCGATAGATATTGTATTGAAACTTGAAACATTCCACTATTACTTGAATTATCATTTTTCATACTCCGTGAAATTTTCAAAACATTTACCCTGAGATTGAACTTTTTTTTTTGTAAAATTTCATTATTGACAAAAGCCATCAAATTGTTATTGATTTGTAGTTAAAAATTTAAAAATACGCAAACAAATTTATATTAATTGCTATATTAATAAGTCTATATATTGAAATACAAGGTTCCTCATATTATGTATTTTTACCAGAAACTTAAAATTAAAAAAAAAAAAAACAAATGCACTATTTTTTTGTACAAGTTTCAAATTCAACTTCAACAAAATTTGATGTCTAAACGAAAAATAATGATTTTTTTGTTTTGTTTTAATTCAAAAAATAACATTTGCAGGGACTTGAAACTTATCTTGAATACAATCAGAATCCCTTGTTATTTGTTTTCACATTTTGAAAAAATATTATTTAGATTAATTTAAGGTCATTGTCAATTTGTACCACGAACCTATTCCATCGTATAACGGTAATAGTCAGCATTAACTAAAAATGTAATAACAATGATATATAGCTACATAATTTTATAATATCTAGTGGTATTATAAATGCAATTTTTTAGTTAAAAATAATTAATTAAACCTATCCTTATTAATAATTATTGCAAAATAAATTACTTTTAATAGTTTTACGAATATATTATAAAAGCGATAGACTGGCAGACCGTTATCGCTACCTCTCAGAATAGTTTTTTGTATGCAATGATTTATCATTGAGTTCATATAGGTATAAGTATAACGTGTCCATTACTGTGTCCAACTTAAAGAAGAAATACACTCGACACCTTTGGTAAACCACTCTGCGGTTACCTACTTGCCTACTATTTTTTTTTAATCACAACAAAATACAGAAAATCGTTTGAGAAGAATGCATTACTGTACTTACGTTTGAATAAAAATCTCTTAAAAAATGAATGTTGCAACTTTTTTTTTCAATTTCAATAAAATCAATTTTTGAATTACTATAATAACTTCTTTTCTTCAGAAATTAAATACTTAATGATATTTTAACAACAAAATAAATAAATGTATATGTTATTAAATGTACGAATTACCTTATTTTTTCAATGTGAATACTAAGTAAGTACTACTTTCTTGTAAAAAATATATTCTTCGTTGCAACACTAATACATTTCTTGGCCACTCAGAGTCTAAAACACGTTGTTAATAGTTTGAAATGTTTGAATACATTATTATTTAAACCTCGCATACAGTGAAATCTTATACTTTCAGATACTTTTATGCGTTATGAAACTTATGAGAAATAATCACATTTTTCTGGTCACAGAAATATAGGTTATTTGATATTCAATAGAAGTTTTCGGCTAGGTATATAAATATCATTATTGTTTTGAAATACTGAACTATTTTGTGGTCCAAAAAAGGTATAAAGGTGGAAAAATTATCCACTAATTGGTTTACAGTGAAAAGGGGGGCTCATCATTTGAAAAACAAAGGTTTGTATCTGCACAGGACACTCATTTTTGGACATTGAGTAAACTATATTAATGTTTGGTATTAGTTATAAATCATTATATACGACTACAAAAATAAATGCCTACCTCAAATACAACATTATAAAAATAATTCATGACATACTTATTATCAATTCATATAGGTACTCATATACAATGTATTTTATATGTTTATTTGATTCCCTTTCATTTAATATTAAGATATAAGATAATGGGAAATGTTGAAAATATCTCGATACAACAAATAAAATAAAAATCGTTCATTTTTTTCCGGTTGGCAGTCACATTAAAACTTCAATGTTTCTTTTAGTCTATAAATTTTAATCTTTGGTCATTCAGTTCTTTTAAATCTTAGCCAAATTCCATGTTTCGGCATCAATGTTAAAACTTTATTAGAATATTTTAGAGGTATTTCTGTTTTGCCACATGGGAATACTTCAAATTTGGTTAATATTTCAACAAAAGCCAATTTCATTTCCATCTCCGCGAAACGTTTTCCTAGAAATTCAAAAATAATTATTATATTATTGTATTTAAATTACTCATTTCAAAATATACCTATACACATTCGAGGGCCATCGCCAAATGGAAGATAAATACCATTTGGTCGTTTTGCTTTTTCTTCAGTCGAAAATCTTTCAGGAATAAACTTTTCCGGGTCTTTATAATACTTAGGATCATAATGCATCGCATAAACTGGAATTATTATTTTTTGGCCCTTTTCTATAGTTAATGAATCGTTGGGTATTTGATATGTTTGTGATGCTTTTCTGAACAAAGCAACCAAAGTAGGATACTTACGAAGAGTTTCTAAAAAAATTATTATTATAATATATTATTGTATTTTGATATAACTGTGTGGTATATTTCTATTTACCATCAAATTCATGCTAACAAATAAATTATAAAATTTGATTAAATTAAAATAAATTAACATTTTTTTAAAATATTTTTATCTCGACCAGATAATCGATCAAAAATATTGCAATTTTAATATTCATAAACATTATAAATTATATTAAAATTAAATTTGATTATTTTCTAAATAGTACCGAATATTGTGACTGTTATTATTTGTTTAGATATAATATCAAAATAATAAGATCAATGATCAAGAACTGAAGATTGAAATAATGATTCTAAACATTGTACCAAGTGTCAATAAACAATAAATTAAATAGTTAGGAAAAGCCTGAAGTTACCATCGAATAAAAAACAATCTACCTCATTTATAATATTAAGATCAATAAATTACCTGCTATAACCATATCCAAGTAATTAAGATCCATCAAAAAATCATGGTTAATTTGTCCGTCATTTTTGGACAGTTTTAGTTGAATCTCTTGGCGTACTCTGTCTTGTATAGATTTATTTAATGCTAATTCATATAAACAAAAACTTATAGTAGTGGATATAGTTTCAAATCCAGCAGCAAACATTGCGAAAGCATTTGCAACGATTTGCGATTCAGTAAATTTTTCTAAAACAAAAATTTTAAAATTTAACACAACAATTTATTGTTTAACTATTGTTTAAAAAATATATAATAACTTTTTTTATATTTTAAATGAAAAAATACTTTACCATGTTTAGGTAAATCTTTATTCAACACTAAATCATTTCTTGCTTGCATTAAACAGTTAACGAAGTCATTTCTGACTATTTTATTTTCAAGTCTATAAGTCAGCGTTTCTTTGAACGCTTCGTGAAAAAAGTCAGTCGCATCCGTTGGAAAATCTTTCACTCTTACGACTTTCAAAAGTGCAGGAGTAATCATCAAACACAATTCTCTGAAAAGCATTCTCATTGAAGGTGTGAATATCGATTTGCCGTACTTACGAAATAGGGATTCGTCATCGGTTATGGCGTTCAACTTGAGGCCAAAAACGCAAGTGCCGATGACGTCAGTAGAATACTTTCCCATGATGTCCCTTATTTCTATTTCGTTGTTGTTTTCATTTAATTTGATATCGACGTTTTTCATCAATACGTCTCCGCACTCTTTGATCTGATCGTACATTGTCTTGAGCTTTCCCGACGTGAAAGCGGGGGTCAATTTGTTTCTTATAGTTTTCCATTGAGGATTTTCCATGAAAAACAGGTTGTTCGACAACGGGTTGACCGCGAAATCCGAGTAAATTCCGCGGTCGGGGAACGACGAGAAGTCTTTTATCATCACGTCGTTGATTATTTCGGGATCGCGGACCATTAAATAAGGCGTTCTCATCTGGAACAGTCCTCCATATTTGCGACCCTCGAACTCGTTATAGATTTTGTTGTAAAATTCCAGCGGATGGTCCTTGCCCAAGGCTATGTTCAAAAAGTTCCCAAACAACGGGATCGGTTTTATGTACGGCACGTTGAGCTTTTCCCATTTCTGAAAGGTCGACACGCAGAAATAATAGACGATCGTCACTATTATCGTGCATGCCGTAACGACATTTATCCACCAATCGGTGGTGAACATGGCCGGAGATCGTTTGCACGGAATACGACAAACAACTTACCGACAGAAGTCAACACCGCAATCCTTTAAAGTGGACACTAATGCTGTATACGATCTAATGTAACAAAGATAACATTCCGTTGGATGTTTTCGAGAGTATATATATTTTTTATATTTATAACTATGACCTCCGTGTTCGGAGGGGGTTTCCTGTTTTTCACACGGTAATGTGTTATTGTCCATCGAACCACAGCTGTAGTAGGTCAGCCCATAATAATATGTAAAACGTTAATTTTAATATTGATACCTACGTATAATGATTGGCACTTTAATTGGATAATTTACTTTAACTATTTAATTGTACAATACAATTTTCAACCGAAATTGTTATTATGCCATAAGCGTTAAAGTTACTACGAACAAAAACAGTTCATATTTATATATTATTATGTTTATTATTATAAGCATATTTAAATAGAATATTATAAACCGGTTTATTCTGTTGTGTTTGGTAAAAATAAGTCTTGTAGGTTATAGCCTATGATGGTGAAACACAGACATCTTTACTAAGTATATAGATTTGGTATAGGAGTGAGGAATCTGTGTGTTGATATTATCATGTTATCCATCTTAAATAAATAAGCTACCTAAATGTTTAGTATATTGTTTCATATCTTTCAATCGATAACACTTTACAAATTAACGTTTTTGAAAAACAATTACTATACGAAAATCAGTTAGGTAACAATATATAATATACAATCATAATTTATTATTTTTTTATTTACCTACACTTAAACACTGTTGTTACTTATAAGCATTTTCATTTCAAAGATAACCAATTAATTTATGGATCACAAAAAGTACAAATTACGGAATGTATAATAATGATGCACCGTGTACACTTCTATATTAATGATTGGCATTACTAGTTATACCTTTTTCTGTTATGTTTTGAGGCTTTAGGCAAAGCTATAAGTTAGAAATAAAAGCAAATGCATGGTGTTAGTTCAAGGCATGATCACACATGCACACTATCAATATCATAGTAGGTATCATACCATCATATTATAAACGCTGGGAACCAACTAGTATGTTTGTTGATAAACATACCTTTATGTGATGATAATTAAACCAATAATAAATATATCTTTTTCTAGTAATTAACATTAAATTTTTTTTTAATATCCTTAAAAATGAGTTACACGGCTTTCATTATTATAAAAAACCACTATCATATTTAAACTAATATGGTAAAGTTAAAGTAAAAAGTAAAGTAAATTTTAACAAAGTTACATAATGAGTTCAATTTTTTTTTTTAATAACTATTCTAACTTCACGAGTTAATATTTTTCCACGATTTGCAGTTACTAATTGGTTAATCAATCTTATAGTCGAGTTAAGTAAATTTTCTTTTAAAATATATTTGTTTTTTACTTTTTTACTTTTTTACAAATGTACTGACTGTGATTTGGCATAGACTGATCATATTTAGTCGAAAAGAAGTGAATAACTTTCTACCAAAGTTGTATAATATTATGTTATGTTATGTTATAACTATACTATTTATTTTATAATAAACTGATATTTCTGAATTATCAGTTAACACTTCGTGCACAGATATATAAATCTGAGTAAAGTTCAGTTGATTGTGTTGTAGTAGGATAAACTTAAACGTTTCAAAACAAGTGTATAGACAAATAAACATAAATACCACTCAGCAGCGAGAAGTATGTATTAGACACTTGTGTGTGTGTATATATATATATATAAGTTATAATCATAGTTTCTGTACAATATAAACTTAGATAAAATACAAAAGAATGGGTTATACTTTATATATAACATAATATACTCGCATATAGATATATATGTAGAAAAAAAACTATATTGGAGCCAAAAAGTGTCTAATACACCGCAATAAAGGGTGATGGAAAGACATCAATGATTTGAAGTTTTCTGGCTGATTTATCGGATGAGATTGGACATCCCTATTGCAAACTGTTTGGCCACGTTCCCGGGAGTAGTGATTAATGTTGACTAGGGGTCTTGAAGTAAGCTGGAAGAAAAGCGTTCACGAGCAGACGGTGCGTTGAATTTAAACCGAGTACTTATGAACAACGAATACAAGTTTTGCCACGCGTTTTCGCTGGATCGAACCGATTTTTGTTCTATGAAATTTGGACGATCTATAAATGCACTAAGACGTATTAATTTATTTTTATTTTCTAGGTCATAAGCTTGGAAGGATGGGTAGACATAATGTATTACGTCCAAGACGCTCATTCATTCTGGGATTGGATTTACTTCGTGCTGCTCATCGTGGTAAGTTACGTGCATGACCAGAATCGGTATCGATTTATAAGACGAATATCTTTGAGTTAAAAAATATTATGATTAAGTATGAAAATAATAACATAATATAATATATTAGGTAACCTTATCTTATTTTTATACACCCGCGTACTAGACAAAATACCCCAAGTAAGGTAAACCCCTTAACCTAACATAGTACGACGCATATATCTCACTTTAGGTATATAACCCTTAAATGTAAGCCTAATCATTAATTCATTAGTAACTGCGTATTTATTATTGATGTATTATGACAGAGTGTAGCTAATAACGTTAAATAAATTATTTATATGTACAATTATACCTAACAATATTATTTATTAAATCAAATCAAAACATTCGTGTGAACAAAGTATATTACCTATACCAAATGTTTAATTGTATTTACAATATTCCAATTACTTATATGTTATGTCCACTCAATAGCAGTATAATAGTATACATTAATATTATATTTAAGTGTATTTTCATCATACGATGAGTGAGGCATTATAAGCTAATTCTTGTTTTCAATTTGGAACACTGCGTGTTTGAACTTGAAACATCAAACACTCGACTGAAAAATAAATTGACATGTATTTTTTAAGTAGTAAACAATATCTTGGCTTCCGTCGTTTGGAATCCTATTGGCTAATGCTGCACATAATGCAATAATTCTTGGGCGACTACGAAATAAGTTTTTAAAATATGCAAGTTATGCACGCAGGACTCAATGGCCTCCACATATTGATTTACCAATACTCGAGTATCTCAAGCTTGATTCTCTAGCAGATCGCAGGCAAGCTGCTAACCTTAAACTTCTTACTAAATTATTAAATGGGCAGATTGATTCACCAACACCTACCATCTCTAATTCCTATAAATGTCCCTCCACGCTACTCCCAACAACACACCACTTTTAATTATTTGCCAATCTACTCCACGAATTATGGCTTAAATGAACCACTTCGGCGTTGTATGTTTATTGCCAATTCTGACCCGTTCTTTTCCATCTCATAACTCTAACCAAGTCATTTTTTAATGATTTCCTGCTTTTATATCAAACTTTTGTAATTTTAATTTTAGTAAATATTAATAAAACTGTATGAACACATGCTTGTATTGTATACCTAAAATAAATAAATACCATACTTGAAAGCATCGTGTTATATATTTTTAAAACAAACATTATTGATTTCATAAAATACTTTACACTTTGAAATTAAATTATATTCTCAACAGTAATGTTTGTATTTTATTACACAATGTTTAAATACAAGTTCAAGTGTTCACCTTCTCATACAGTTTTTTGTTTTCTTGAATAATTGTAAAATACTTTTTTACAATACGAATATAAAATCCTATTGTCGATTTGAAACGGCTAACTCAATTAGTTTAATTATTTCTTTTGTTATAAAAATAAAAGATATATTTACATTTACTTGAGTAGGATTACAAAAAAAAAGATACTGGAAAAGAAAATTATGAAAAAGTACATTAACATTCTGCTGTGTAAAAAAACTACTATAAACTACAGAATATTCAGTGGGTAAGTACAGATATAAAAATAGAAATAATAACTAAGTTTTAAAACTGTTTGTGTGTATTTGGTTATGTATTATTTAACTGTTTCTAAGTAATTTTAAGGAAGTATGAATAAGGAAATTATGATCCTATTGAAATAATGTAAAATAGTAGCATATAATACGTGTAACCAACTGTCTGTGGACATTTCTTTTTTTAATTCAAAATAAATGGTACGGTGTCTTATTATATTATACCCCAAACTATGATCTATGCAATTATTCAAAGTGAATTAGTAGTATATGCAATATCGTATGCATATAATTAATAATTTAATTTATATACAAACTAATTAATGTGGACATTAAACAAAATATACAACTTACGTTATTATTTCTTGTAACTTTAGCGGGAGTCGATGAAGCATGTGCGTACTTGAGTATGAGGTATTATTGAAAGAAAATGTGAAGGTATAGACGAGACAATAATAGATATTATAAATACTTTGAGCTGATTGTTAAATTGGATTGTGCATAAATAATGCTAATTTTACAATTTATGTTCATATTTGAAATATGGGTTATAGCAATATTAATGTTTGATCAAACTATTTAGGTACATAAGGAAACTTTTAACGAACTATTTTAATATCTTAACAAAATATGTCTGTAAAAGCTTAACTCATTTACACCACTTTACTAAGTACCTATTATACTATATATAAAGTCTATTGCCTGATCAAGTAAACCATACACAAAATGATATATTATATTATCTTGTATGTGTATAAAGATATTAGGGGTAAACGTGGTAATCAGTAATGATACAATATTTGGTCAGATATTAATGACGATAATCTTTAATAGTGATCATTTATTGTTGTTCGCAATAAAGATGTTTAATGGACATAAATTTGTTTCGTTTTCTTATATTATTCATCCATAATATTTAGTTATCTTGAGATTAATAACGGTTAGTCACAGATCGGGTAGTTACGCCAGAGATAAATTTGTTATCCGAGTGTGTCCAATGCCGGCGACAATGTCTACCTTTATTTCACTATATTTTATTTATGAATATAATAGGTATAATATTTGTCAGATTATAATCGGTCAATTATGATATTGTTAGCTATACCATACTTTATTAAACAATAATAATCTAACCGCGGCAGATGCGATGCTATTAACTATACCGACGATAGGACATATTCTGTTCGGCGAGAAAAACTTTTAGTATCGAATATAAAGACCGCTGTGCGGCCATCGGTACAGAACTGTAC